TTAACTGCTATGCTCAATTTTACGCTTGCTTATAGATGTGAGTGAGTGTGGGGGTGGACAGATCCTCTCTGCATGCATACCCACACTCACCTCCACAGCCACACGCACACACATATCCATACACCGCACATACACACGCACACCCATATCCACACACCCCACATACACACGCACACGCACACCCACACCCGTACACTCCACACTCACACCTACCTATACCCACACCCATACCCTCAATAGACCATCAGATAATGCGTCAATGCACTTATTGCTTACAGTTATTGTGTTCAATTCGAATTAGATATTCACTGTGTGTATTTTTCTTCCGTTTGATATCAATACAGTTCTAGATCACTAGAAAATTAATGAGATTCTAATCGATTCAATGCCTTAGATCTAGTGGCGGCGCCACAGGTGGGCGGAGGTGGGCTGAGCCCACCCTAAAATTCCTTCAGCCCACCCTCAATATTTGTAAGTTGCAGCAAAAGATGGCTTCCAGGGTGGGCTCAGTTACAGTGAGCCCACTCACATTTGAGCTAGAGGGGGCTAAGCCCACCCTAGTAAAAACTCCGGGCGCCGCCGCTACTTAGATCCCAACTCTAAAAGCGGTTTCCCTACTAAATGATAATATACAAGAATAACATATAAGCATCAATTATTCTTGGTTTTCTTATTTTAGCTTCAGATTGCTGATATTTTGAAATTCAATTATTTTTCTTAAGGCGTGCTATGGAGATGCAAAATTTATAATTTCTTAGTTTGGCGGCAGAAATTTTCATTTGATGGTAAAATGATTGAATTCCTCGAAATACAGCGCAAACTCTTCAATTGTAAGACAATGCTTCAAAAATCCACGTGTAAGCTCAGCAAACAGTTTTATTTTCTACAAAGTTATCAAATATACACGTTTTAAGTAACACTTTGAATTGAAAACGAAATAAAATAGAAAAAAACAATCAAGAATTATCTTTAGTGAAATTACAGCTTTTTAGAATCATAAGACTCCAAAGTCTTCCAAAAACACACGCATTTTCTGTAAAAACAAATTATTGTCACAAGAAACGGTGAAGCATCTTTATCAAAACTGTCTATTACTACTGCAATCAATATATAAGACACCACTTGTCTACTCTGTCACAGCAAGTTTAAACTGTTGCTGACGGAGGGATGCAAATATTACTTGCATGATATCACTTCTCTCTTGAAAATCAATCAACAATAACTGGCATAATCTCCATCTTTTCTGTAATACAACACTTGCAAATCTGTTCAATCCACTATTACCAATATCAGCCAAATTCTTCAATGACTTCGGTTTATCGGGTAATATCGAGTCAAAGATAGTCGATACTTGCGGTGTCAATGTCCAGCTTAGCTTGTACAAGGCATTGGTGGGTAATGAAGGCAGAGAATTGAACTGCAAGACTTGCTGCCAATTATATGAAATCATTTGATCAAGTGAATCTGTGTTAGCATATGAGTTAATCATACTTGAACCATACCAGAGCTGAGTGTAGTTCGCTATAGTGTCATCATCACTTAACGTTACTATCACTCGTTGATTTGTTACAATCATATCACCAATGGTTGTGGCATTGAAGTCATTAATACGTGAATATAGCATTGGATCGAATATATTGATGATCATATCTCTCAATTCATTCAAGTTTTTCTGTGTTAGATTCGCACTGGCAAGATGTGATACTTCAATCACCATGATTTCACTTGGATGTAACAACAAGAATGAATTCAATGCACTGAGATGAGTGTAAATAGGTAGACCAAGTTCGAAATGATACGAACACCAATCTGTACCATTATAGGCAGCACGGATATCAAAATAGCGCATACCATCTTCTGCTTGTTTGTATAAATTTCTACTTTGTGTCAATGCCCAGGGTGTAATCACATCCTGTAATGGTATTCCTAATTTCTCTGCTAGTTTTACAAGAGCATCCAAAACTGCATTTCCAGTAGGATCAGGTGACAGAGCTGACGTGAGAGTAAACGATGCAGCATCATGTGTGCCTGGTAAAGTAAGGTTGGATAAATGAAGATGAGAAATGTAAGGAAGGAGTTGTTGCATCCAAATACTGGTGTTGATTGATGTGAGAGAAGGAAATTTGTGAGTTTGTCGCAAGTCAATTAGGATGTCATCTTGGAGTGGATAAAATGAAGTAGACTGTGGATAATTGATTACCAGTAATAATGATAATGCCAGTATCGAAAGATCATCAATCATGTTGAACATAGCAAAAATGAAGTAGAATGATAGAAATAAAACGAATGTTTGTTAAGATGTTTACTAACTTGCGTTATCAGATAATGTGCGCATGAAAAAGAACCTTTTATCATCTCTACCTGTAAAACACATATTTATCTATGGTTATTACTAGTAGCAAAATAGAACAATAGAGGGTGAAGGTGAGTAGTGAGTTAGGTTAATCAAGAAACAGACTGATCTAGATATAGAAGATATAAATCAATCTGTTAGTCTTAACTCTTACTTCTCAGCAATCAGCTTTCTTGTCGAAATGCAATAATATTGGAAGAATGTGCTTACATTTAAATAAGTTAACTTCAAACAAAAGTTTTTAGTTACCACGACTAATTTCGACCTAAGATGTTGAGAAAAAATATACAGGTATTAGCACGCATCAGAGCTCCCAACGATCGACTTTTTTTTACCCTGTCCTTGCCTGGCCTACAGACGCCTACCAGGATAAACCAGATCATCAATACTTTTTGATATTAAAGATTATCACTCTCCTATACATATTTAGTGCGATTCGTTCTTATTCCTCCAATCATCTATCTACTTCTTTCTGCCGGGGTGGGTGTGGGTGTGAGTATGAATGTGAGACATGGGTGTACCTCTTCTCAGCACTAGCACTCACACCACACACCCACACCCACACCCACACCCACACCCACACCCACACCCACAC